GCCATTCATTAATAACTCAGGTAATCCAAATTATAATCCTCGACAAAGTCAAAATTTTTCTCGGCCAAGTCAAAGTTATAACTAGAGCCCGGAAGTTCAGGCAAAATGCCATAAATGCCCTTTTCTGCCTTTTTTAAACGTTTTCTTCTGAAAATGCCTTTTTCTTTCCTTTAGTTCATAAATGCCTATTTCTGTCTAATTTAAAATTTTTCTGCAAAGCTTTTTGTGCTTTTGACCGAGCATAAACGCAAAATGAAGAAATTTTGAGGTACAGAAACGGTTGACTGTCATCCGACGTATTGTAATGCATTTATAGAGATTAGGATTTTATTCCCTTTGGGACAGCTCCCTCCCTCTGAGACAGTGGTCACCCCTCGTATAGTACAATGGCTATTCATCTGAGCTGATAGGGTACTCGTGCTTGAGTGAGCAAGGCAGGTGAAAGACATTTTTCTGTCCATGAGATTGACAGTGTTGATTGAATAGAATACAGAAATGAAGCTTTGCCTTTTTCAAAGATGGCCACAAGAAAGGAGATTGCCACGCGCTTGCATAGCACCTTGTAATCCATCTTTTATCGCCCAGAGGGATAGTTTGGGAGACAAAGAGCTTGATTGGAACTCGTTCGCTTGGCAACTAGCGGGAGCGCGTGGGGAATGCTGGGAAAAAGAATATTTCCTCTTCGTCTCTTCGTGGCGTCACCTTCGCCCAATGCGCTTTACAAGGAGAGAGAGAAAGGGAGTGAAAATATTGGAGTTATTTTTACTTACAGTCAATAGGAGTTATTTTTACTTACAACCAATAGAATTTATTCTTACTTACGGTCCATATAGCCTACACCATCGAATAACTCGTATGCTCTCTTATCTACAAAACGAATTCACCAAGCTGGTTGAGCACATTGTAGCAGGAGCACGAAATAGTTTTCTAGTACTAGTTATTTCAAAAATGCCTAAAGTAAAAGCCTGCACAAGCAAAAAAATGGACAGTTTTGTGAAAGAGTTTGGGTCGGATGTGTTTTCTACTGATGGGAGCATTCTGTTTTGTAAGGCATGCGAGAAGTCAGTAAATGTTGAGAAGAAGTATTTTATATCTCAGAACTTGGAGACATCTAAGCATAAAACAGCAAAAGATAAAAAAGATGGGAAAACACCGACTCTGATTCCCACCTGTTTTCAATTATCCTCTCGCAAATTGGAATTTGCAATGGATTTATGCAGATCATTTGTAGATGCCGGCATTCCGCTGTGGAAACTTGAAAATAAAAGCATACGAGCTTTTTTGCAAAAATATACGAATCAAAGTGCGCCCTGTTAATCAACTTTAAGGAAAACTTATTTAGATGACTGTTACACCGAAGTTCTTAAAACTATTCAAAATGAAATCGGAACAAAAAACATATGGCTATCTATAGATGAAACGATAGATGTAACTGGACGATATGTTGCGAATGTCATTGTTGGTGTTATGGACCCATTTGAAAAACATAAAATCTTTTTGTTGACATCTGAACAGTTGCAAAAGACTAACAGTACTACAATTGCTCAGTTGTTCACTAATGCACTGGCTTTACTTTGGCTAAATGGTACTAAGCATGAAAGAGTGCTATTATTTCTTACAGATGCAGCCACCTACATGAAAAAAGCTGGAAATGCCTTAAAAGTTTTATTTCCTAATATGATCCATCTAACGTGCCTTGCTCATGCATTGCACAGGATAGCAGAGGAAGTAAGAGGTCTCTATCCTGAGGTAGGCTCGCTTGTTTCTAGTGTGAAAAAAGTATTTGTGAAAGCCCCTTCAAAAGTTCAAAGAAATTGCACCAAACATTTAATTACCTCCTAAACCGATCCTTACGAGATGGGGAACATGGATTTCAGCAGCCTCATACTACTGCACAAATTTTGAGGAAGTTACTCGAGTCCTTACCAGCTTTTCGGATGAAGAGGCAATATTCATAAGAAAAAGTAAAAGTCTGCTTAGCAGTTCTAAAATAAAAAATTGAACTGACTTTTATTTCAACTTATTTTGGGAAGCTCCCTGGAGCTATTGAACACATGAAAAAAAAAGAAATATGTCTTTGTCCGAGTCACTAAAGATTTTCGACAATACCCTTGAAGAACTAATGTCTGTGCCTGGACAAGCTGGTGACAGAATAAGGAAGAAATGTGAAAACGTCATCTCTGCAAATACAGACTTTGAATGCATCAAGGACATTGCAAAAGTACTTTCTGGTGATACTACAGTTGAACTAACCATATCTCCTACCATGGCAAGTTGTTTTAGGTACGTGCCCATAACCTCTGTCGAAGTAGAAAGATCCTTCTCTTTGTTTAAAACTATATTGACTAACAGGAGACAAAATTTCTCCTTTGAAAAAGCATCTAGTTGTGACTTGTGATGTGCAACAACAACCAATCATCAGAATAAATCTGCATACAATATTATTGTAAGAATGAGTTTTCAATTTTTATTTCACACTTACGCAGTTGAGTTTTTTTTTTTTTGTTGGTGCAATTATGTCCACTTCTTTTGTACTATTGCTACGACAGTCGAGTAAAATGAATATGTAGGTATATCAGATACTTCTAGCAACTTTTTTTATACCTTGGATACCTATCTGGGCTTTTAGGCATTACCAACTACCATTTTGCTCCAATTTCAAGTGCCTATTTCAAGCTTTTTAAATGCCTTTTTGCCTGCCTATTTTTGCATTTTTTATTGCTTGAAATTCCGGGCTTTAGTTATAACCAACAATCCCAATTTAGACCTAGAATTCAAAATGAAAAGTTTCATAAAAATAAACAACAAACTAGTCATTTCGCCCAGGCTTCCCAGGAATTGCCTCCTAAGCCATGTAAATACTGTGATATAATGAGTGACTGTGAAAATAATAATAAAAAGTTATTGTAACCAGTGATGTAAGTAGTGGGAGAGGAAGAAAGAACGCCTGTCCCTGGGCATCAGCCTTAAGTAAGGGTGGTAAATTTTTAAAAAATGGTTAAAAATAAATACCTCAGAAAATTATTTTTCTCTTTTAAATATTCAAAGTTTAATTTTCTAATGGTAGGCCAAATAACGCCTTCAAACTTTTACTTGCTTAACCTAAAAGTATATCAAGATCTCTATTAATAAAGTAGTTTAATTAGCTCAAATCATTTTTATTACTATTATTATTTTTTTTACAATTTGGCGATAAATTGAATGGAAAAGGCGTTTAGGAGAAATACTTGACATTTAATAAAAAATAATAAGCACAATCAAAAACTTAAGCATAATAGAAACTACATTAGTAAAACATTCTGTTAAATTTTAAACTGAATGAAATAGAAATTTATGAAGTCAGGAATGATTGTGAGCCCAAGTCAAAATTCCGGAAAATTTCTTGAGTTAAAAAAAAAAAAAAAGTTTAAATTGAAACAAATTTTAACAATGTTTTTTTCCTTTTTCTCAATATTTCTTAGTTTATTGAAAATATATTTAAAATTTTACACATACCTACACCATTTACACATACCCATGATGACCTGGAGAAGTAATTAAAATTTACAAATATGCCTTTCGTTCTTGAGTTTATGATTATGACAATTATTTACAGATAAGAAAAATGAATATAAGCTTATAAAGTATCTCTCTGGCTCTCTCTTACAAACAAATAAAATAAATTGTGTTTTTGAGTTCCACCTTTGAAAATTTGATTTCCGAAAACTTGTGATCAATGATTTTTCGAAACGTCCGGATCTTCGATCTCCGGAAACTACCGGATCACTGTTAGCGAAAGTTCCGGAAATCCGGATTTTTTCCGGAGCACAATCAGCCCTGTGAAGTAACCTAAAAATCACTGTGCAAAGTTGCAAAATTTTATTCAAAGTAAACTTTTAAAAAATAATTTCAGATGAAGTTGATCTAACCTTTTACATTATCTTAGAACTTAAAAGTGTNATAAAGTAGTTTAATTAGCTCAAATCAATTTTATTACTATCATTATTTTTTTACAATTTGGCGATAAATTGAATGGAAAAGGCGTTTAGGAGAAATACTTGACATTTAATAAAAAATAATAAACACAATCAAAAACTTTAGCATAATAGAAACTACATTAGTAAAACATTCTGTTAAATTTTAAACTGAATGAAATAGAAATTTATGAAGTAACCTAAAAATCACTGTGCAAAGTTGCAAAATTTTATTCATAGTAAACTTTTAAAAAATAATTTCAGATGAAGTTGATTTAAGCTTTTACATTATCTTAGAACTTTATCTAGTGTTTAAAAAAAAGCCTTCTTTTAAGTCTTACACCAAAATGTGAGAAGTGCTAAAACTGAGTTACTCCCAGGGAGCTGTAACCATTGCTACGTCTCTGATTGCAACTAAAACAATGCTTTGATTTTGTGAAAAATTTCAAGAAAAAAAATAAATAAAATAAAAAACAGTGTTCTGGAGACATATTAGGTTCTGAGAATTTTCAGTATTGAGCAATGTGCCCTTTTGGTAGCAAGATTTTTTTAAAAATTTGACTCGGGATATCTAAACATGTAATCAACAGCATAAGTTTGGCCGTTTCGAGAACATTGATTACCTAAATTGCTGTGCTCTAGATTTTTGCTTAGATTTTATCTGAGTGGGAAAAGAATAGAATGCTTATTGGATTGCGGATGTAAATTTACAGTTTGCTAGATAGTATTTTGACTGCTTTGAATCCATTTTATTTCAGTCACCATGACAAAAAGAGTGATAGATTTAAGTGAGAACAAGATTTATAAATTGATGAGCGAATCAGAAAGTGAAATAGAATGTACTTAATAGCACTGCTAATTTTGTATGAATTTTTAAATAAAATTAGGCCTAAGGGAAAAAATTGCGCGGTCATGTGAATACAGATTAAATATCCATAGTTTAGATAATAAACAGAAAAAGAAAGAAAAGGAGTTTTCAATAAAAGTAAATTATCAATAATGTACATCTTTGTAAAAAAAAATGAAAGCAGCAGGAAAGAACTTAACCTGTGTGTTCTTCTTCAGCCTTCTGTATGAACTGATCAACCAGCTCCTGACAATATTCAGTCACTTTTTCAGAACTATCAGGGTCATTCAGATTCAGGCTTGTTTCAATAAGGTCTACATCTTTGATGTAAAACTGACGCACAGTTTGAAGAGGTATTTTGGTTATTTGGAATTCTTTTTTACGAATCTATAGGCAGAAAAAAAAGTGAAAATTTGTATTAAAACCTTTTAGTAAAAAATATTATCATTTTAGTGGAAATTAAACCATATTTGAAAGGTATAAATAGGGTATATCAAATTTTTTCAGCTTAAAATTATGATTTTTTAAATTTTAAATTAATTAAGCAAGAATTTTTTAACTAAATATTATTGTGTAAGCTAACAACTTTTAGGTTGAATTACTTTTACTATTGTCCGAATCTTTCTGCAATTCAGCTTTGTTCCAAAATATAACCAGCAAAAGTAATAATTTGTGACAAAACTACATTTTCCTCATTTAATACACAATATAACTTGTATTAGATAAATTTTTAAAAACAATATAATGGTATAAAAAACATTTTAATTCCTTGTTTAAGCTATAAAATTTATAAAATCATCATTAATTTAACTGTACATATATTTGTTAAGTTCTAAAACTTGTTAATTTATGCTCTGTAAGACAAATGGAAAAGCAAAATCTTAAGAATTGTAACTAGATTATTCTTATAATGAACAATTTTTTTTTCTTTTATTGTTCAGGCAAGTTAATTTCATTGTTTTTTTCAACACTTTAAGTTTTTTTGTTACATTTAAAATATTGAAAGCCCCTCATCTCATACTTTTTTAAAATCTTGCCTTTAAATATTATTAAGTTTTTTCATGCAACAAATTAAGAGCACTGAAAATTGTAAAAGTAAAAATAAAACAATAAAAAGTAATAAGTAAAACAAATTAATAAAATACAATAAACTTTAAAAACAAATTATGCAATTAGTGGTCGGTCCCTCAGGTCACACAAAATCACACTTAATTTTTATCTTTGTTAAATTAAATGAATTAAAGGAGATGAAGATTTTGATGTGATGAATCTTTGTGATTCTTGACTACTCTGGGCATCCACATAAAAATACGTAATTGGAGAATGATCCCCAAGTCAAGTTCAAAGATGTAGTTTCTGATCTGTAAATGGAATAGCGAGAAAAAGCCACTGATGAATACGATGGCGCTTCATCAACGAGGAAATTAACAAGAGAAATAAAATTTTCTTTCGCTATTAGGATTTTTAAAAAAATGGCAATGTTTATTGGGTCCCTATGATCAGCGAAAGTTCGAGAGATTTTTCGGTTCGATTTCAGAGGGCAGAAAATGAAGTCTGAAATTAAGAATCTCTTGTAAAATGCAGCAGAGTTGCACACATGAGTGCAAGAGTCCTTCCCACAGAATACAGCTCAGTATAGGCACACGCGGACCTGCAACTATTTCATCTAACAGGTCGCTTTGATACGCTACAGACCGACAGTAGGTCAAAAAGGATTGTGGTTGAAAGAAACGTGAAAACTTTTAATATAACAATGAGAAAACGAAGTTCCCTGCCTAATTTGTGACGAAAATCGACACAGTAAAAAAATACATAAATAAAACTCACTTAGGTAAGGGAAAATTAAGCACCTTTTAAAAACGCTACACACCTTGAATATTTATTACTGATTTTTAAAAAAAAAAGAATGTTGCTATTAGGCCGAATATTTGGTATTCGGTCAAATCGTGATTCGTTACATCCCTACTTTAAACCAGGGATGGCAAGTTTCCTTCCATAGAAGAAAAAAATTGCCCTTGAAGAAATAGGCTCCTTCCAACTAGTGGATGAAATAAAAGAAACTTTTCTCAATAAGAAATATAACTATTTAAACAGCTTATAATTCGTAATGTTATGTCGATTGATGAACGTAATTTGACAAAATTCAGGGGTTTTGTTTACGCTAGCAGTCTGGAAAGGTTAATGTTGAAAGACGGTGTGAATTGTGTTTAACTGTATAAACAGGAGCTTGGGTTAAGATTCGAGTGTCTCGTCGAACCTTGAGCAGCTGCATCACTTGCAGAATGTTATGCTTGGTTCAATGTGCAGTTGTTCAAATGAACTCTTAATATCATAGAACTATGATGGAAATGTTCACCTATATTTGTGTTAAGTATTGGTTCCATGCTCTTCTATTTTTGGAAAGGAACCTGCAAGAAAACATTTTCCTTTGCTAACTCCAGTTTTAATCGTATGTGCTACCGCACATACGATTAAAATTACAAATTGAAATATAGCTTAAATTATTTATAATATACCATTTTTAATTAGAAAAAAAAAAACGAAAGCAACAAAAAGTAAAATAAATTTAAAGGATTGGAGTTTAATTATTGGAATTCTGCAATATTGGAGATTAATCGCTCTGATTCAGGTCAAAATTACGATCTGTCGATGAATGAATGGGTCCGCCCTATAAACGGGTGCGACGTATAGTGTGGCAGAAGTGGAATTCTTAGCCATAGACGGCGCCACTGGAAAACACGAATAATCGCACCCCTTCTGCCTAAACAGGCATGCGTCAACAACAACAACACATCTTGGAAAAATAATTTTCTTTATGACGACATGTCCATCTTCCTTTAACCTTTTGCTTATGGCTGATATTGCATGTGATGTTACAGCAAGGTACACCGTAAGCAAAGGGTTCACCCTCCTATATTCATAAATACCTCATTTCATTGATTAAAATATGAGTAAAAATGTATAAGGGAATAAACATAATCTATTATACTGATAACATATTATACTGACTTGCAGCAATCCAACATGTTTAGGAACTGCTTCACCATGGCACAATGAAGTGGCAACAGAACTTCCAGGCTGTGTCACATAGAATGCCTGAAGCACATTTTCTTCTGGGTCAATCCGACACTCGTGCTCATGGCCCCAAACCACAAGGTCCAAGAAATTATCGAGAAACTGTTCGGGAATGTAGTTTTTCGCACCGTGCTTTGTCCGATTCTGATGAAGAACCATGAGGTTGAACCAATCATCACAGTTCTCCCTTGGCCTCAGCATCTTCACTTTACCTTCCAAGAACATCCTGTGTAGTCTTTCGTCACGAATGGAACCGAGGCCGTACAGGCACAACTTCGTCCTACCTTTCTGAAACATCAAGGGGGATATGTTGATGTCCTGTAGGTCAGTACACTTGCCAAAGTAATTAACTAGACCCGTCGCACTGAGAAGGTCCAAGCTGCAGTAGCATCCTGGACCAGCAGGATCGTCGTGGTTGCCGTGAATGGAAAAAAGTGGTATGGATACGTTCAGGTTGGAATCTTCAAAATTAACTATCGGTTGGGCACAATGCTTAAAGTTTTCAGATTGGTCACTAAGAAACTCAAATTGGACAGGTCGATCACCCATGCAATACTTTCTCAACAGGGAGATGCAATCGTGTAGAACCTTGCGAGATGGTTTGTTTTCATGAAATAAGTCTCCTCCCAACAAAATAAAATCAACTTCTTTATCAACAGCAATTTTAAGTATTTCTTCAAAAGTAACAATGGAATCTGATCCTAAAAAACAAAAGATATTAAATGTTTAGGAAACTATGTTTAACATAGTTTCAAAAAAATTGAAATTCTTAGATGACAGAAAAAACTTTTAATAAAAAAGCAGATATCCCTTATTTATTTAGTGTCAAAAACATTTGAATTCATTTTTAAAAATTTCAAAAGTATGAGAAAAATTCTTTCAAGCAAGTATTTAAATTTGGATCAATGTTTTTGGGAAATAAATAAATTTGCACGATAAATAAAGCTAAGAATAGTCGGCTAAAGCTAATTTATTGCATTTGTGTTTCAGCTTACTAGTTTAAAGAAAATGTTGACTGCATAACTTTTTACAATTTTGTTTTTTCCTAACTTAAGAATTTCTCTAAGACTTCAAATGAATAAACATTCTTGTTTTCATTTTTAATAAGAAATTTTAGAAAAAAAATTATGTTTTACTGCAAATTAACATTTTATACAGTGGAGGACTGAAAAATTAGAAAAGCTTAATTTATTTTTGAAAATAATAAATACTATTTCAAAGATTTAAAATTTCAACAGTCAAAATACTTTGTTAAATTATTTTGCCTAATTTGTATAATATGTGTGGCATTTATTTTCATTTTTTTTATAATCGACTTTGATCAGCAGGCCCAATTTTGAGTTTACAACTACTAACGTTCAACCCCGCAGCCTAGTATCTTTGAACTTAATACAGAAGACAAGGGAACTCCTGGATCAAGTATTGGAAGAAATTTGACATTGTGCCGAACATTTTGATGGAACTAACCCGCATTTGCAGTTTATAGGGGGAAAAAACCTCCCTATGTTAGCCTGATGTAAGTGGACTCTGACCCATGATCCGTCTACCACTGAGGATATTTTATGGTAGCATTGTAGTTGAGGAGGTACTTGACCCTATGCTTGGATCCCTTCTTTTGTAATCAAGTGAGAAAAAAAAAAGTCTGAACTTTTATCAGTTATAAGCAAAGTCAAGTCAATAACTTCACTTTTCTTATAGAAATTTTTTTTTCAAGAGCTAGATAGAAAGTACTATTCTGGCATAGCATAAATAGAGATGGAATAAGCTAAGTGAGACAATCAAGGCCAGCAACCGGCTGTAGTACTGGTAGGAGAATAAAAAATTTGTTAAAAATTAAATAGAACTATCAGTTTATTTACCTATTTTTTTTCTTTCTCTTTTTACTCATTTTCTATTTATAATTAATGCTTTTGATTAGATTATTCTTTTTTTTTTAACTCTTATTATTTCCAAACAATTTAATTAACAGTTCTTTAAGTTAAATTTAACTTTATACTAGCGTGAACCAAAAAGAAATTTCAAGGTAATTCAGGGTTGCCACTCAAATCTGGAAAAAAAAATTCCTTGTTTTCCCTCTACATGCTATACGCAATATATTAAGAGGAAACAACAATTACTGTGTTCTTGTGCGAGCTATATTGGGCTAACTATATATATTAGTTTCAATTGCTGGAAAAACAGCTGAACATACTTAAATAATGCTATGGTAAATGAAATAGTTTAGAATAGCTGAAATATCATGGTTAAATATCCCATAGATTACGCTTTGAGTGGTCACCATTTTTTTAAAGACCAAAATAAAAAAAAATTCCCTGTATTTTCCCAGTTTGTACAGAAAAAATCAAAATTCCCTGCATTTTCCCTATTATTTTAGGTGATTTTTAAATTCCCAGTATTTTCCAGGTTTTCCCTGTGGAGTGGCAACCCTGTAATTGAAAAATAGGCGCTTATCCATTTTGTAAAACATCTTTCTCTATATCTTTGCGAGATGTTTATATTTTGGTTCGTTCGTTGAAATTACTCTTAATAATGACAATGGATTTGGATGGAATAAATATTTATTTTAGTAATCTAGATTATATAGGTACTCGAAATAAAATACGGAAATATACATGAGCTGCATAATATATATATTCCGGAGCTCTACTGCTCCCTTCTAGTCCATACTCTCTCTACATTCCATATCTTTCATATTCGAGCTAATACTACCGAAAATCCTCTTTCTCACCAGAAAAAAGTCCTTCGATTTCCCTTACTCCACCCCCACTCTAGGGGGACGACACTTCCTCATTCTCAGGTCAGGGGTCAATAAATTGAATGGGAGAGGAATCAGGATCCTGACACATTTCAAGCATCATAAAAAATTGCTTAACTATTGTTGGTGCTTAATTAATTGTGGTAATAGCTACAACTGGTATTGTGGTAAATGTTACTTAATATAATAATTTTGTTCCTGAGGTAATATGCTTCTTTTTAAGGTCATTAAAATAGACAAGTACCAAAAAAAATGTCAACAGAAAAGAATCTTTTAAAAAAAAAAGGATCCGTGTTATTATTATAATAGTTTTGAACTCTAAACTGACTGTCATATTAGTTTTGGTTTTTTATCCCGGCACAGAAAGATCAATGATTTTTTAAAATTTTTTTAATTCAAATAAGTGATTATCAAAATGGAAAAAGAAACAAAATCATTGTAAAGAATCAGTTCACAGCGATGACATTCAATATTCTATCACACTCTAACAGCGATATATATAGATAAATATATTATATAAATACAGTGAAACCTCAATTAAGAGGACATTCATGGGATCGAAAACATTTCGGTTTAGGGGAAGAGTACACTAATAACAAACACCATAAATTGTTTTTAGAATATTATCTAAGATAAAGAAATAATTAAATAATCTACAACGATATTTATTTAAACTTTAAAGAGATAAAAATGAATATATAAAGAAGTTTGATATAAATACATAATTCTAGATGCAGCTACAGATGAATGAATATAATTTTCCTATTAGCCCAGATACTCAAGTTAGACATATGATACTGAATAGGAGCTTTTAGTCCTAAGTCGGTTTCAATTATTATCCCCTACCTATCATTTGATAGGGAACATGGTCAATACTTCCTTCAAAGTAAACCTCCCACGAGTCACAGAAGAAAAAAAAAAAGGTGTGAAATACAGTCTTCAAATTGATTTTAAAAAAATGCATAATTATCAATGGGAAGAAGCATTGACCGCATTTCAACTTGAGGGGTTTCACAACCTGTATTGTCCAGATGAAAAGATGCCGCTGTCAGAATTATTTTACAAGAGCAGTATCATTTTCTTTCCTTTCTTTACAAAGATAAGGCAAGGTAACAGAAGGAAGATTGATTCTTCAGTAGTGAAATAGCTTAACAATATTTTTAGTTATGGATAAGGCAAAAAATTTACATCATTTAAAAATGGAGAAAAGTTGCATATTTTTTTCGTAAAATTTAAAGCAGAAATTTTTTTTTTCAAATTTAGGAAAAGTAGTGTCCGGCTTGAAGAGATAGAAAATAACGTTTCAGGGCAAAAACGACTGTCCGTCTCCGGTTACCGGAGTGTCCGTTTTGCGAAGAATGTGCATAATGGTTTATTTATAGAAGATTCTAGGGGAATTAAAAATATGTATGTATTGAGAGGCGTCCGTTTTGCAGGAATGTCCATAACAGGAGGTTTGACTGTATATATATATTTGTTACGCTTTGAAAGCATTAACATTGTAAATTCGTAGCGTGTTTATTGAAAAAGATACAGGAACATGGAGAAATAATGGAATTTTATTAAAGTAAGGGCCCAAAAATTTAAACATTACATGCTGAGGGATAGATAGAGAAGATAGCGATTGACCTTGGAAAGAGGGTTTTTTATATCTTCCTGGATAATATATTTAACTATTAATAGGTCTTAGAAACATGGAACAGATAAATTTCCCAAGCTACTAAAGATCATCTTGCTTTCTGAGATAATTAGATCAATATTATTACTTTCTTGTGGTAAAGGTTTTAAATGATTGTGCGTTAGATATAAGCTCTATTTATAGATCACATTTAATATATAGTTCTTTTAACATTATATATATATATGGTTGAAAAGGAGGATTCAAAGTAATCAAGAATTCCTACCTCTAACTGCATCATTTTCCTGATAGCCTAAATGACAATCAGTAGCCAACAGGATTTGCAAAGTATCATCTTCACTTCCCATGGCTGAAATAAACATTCATAAAATCAACTAGAGAGTTTTCACCTGTTTTCAGAATGGGTGTGAAATTGTATCGTAAAATAAATGACAATAATTTTTCATTATACACTAAAAATGAATCAGTTACAGTTGAAAGTTTTAGTGAAAAGTTTGACTCCTTAATTGTTAAATTGATTTCACATATTCTTCAGTAGGTACATAACTGGAACTAGTGAAGCTAATGAAATAACATTTTGATCACAAAGATACACCTCATTAACTGAAATACAATTTCAGGTAAAAATAAATTTCAAATTTATTTACTATTAATGAATGAATTTAATAACAGTGAAATACCCATTTGCATAATGTGGTGTAGATATCTTAAATATTGCAGAAGTTAATTGAATCAGTGGACTGCAAGAGAATGCATCACAATCCTTATTAACGTTATTTAAAAATCATATGTCACGATTCATATTCAATCTGCATTGACTGAGAATGAAAATAGTTTAATTAAAGAAGAAAATGGCGCCCATTGTTTGATAACAAAGAATAATGAAAGATTAAAATTAGCCATTTCAAAAAGTAGAAAGACATACAAGTTTTACAAATGATGGTCGAGGCAGTAAATAACTGCCTACAAAACACTTCCAATCATTTGTCAAGATATAGCTAAAAAATATATATATATTATTTATCTAAGTTTTTAAGTTTAATTTGATTTTTGAAGTAATAAATGCCTTCAGGAAGAGGTTGTTTACCATGCATTTATTAGGCATTTCTTTTCCTCTTATTGTTAAGCTATTTATTTCATGAAATAAACGTTAGAAGTTAATTTTAGTCCTCATATTTTTAAAGTTCGTGAGTATTGATTTTTGGCATCATGTAAATATTAAATATCCTCTTCATTACGTTGGTCCACGTATAGTTTGTCTACGATACAGTTTAAATCTACAATTACTTAACATTTAAAAATTAATACAGGCAAGAACATGCAAGTTCACGCATGTCCCTTGACATGTAAGGAGGAATTTATGACAGCGTAGTAGTCAAGTAAAATCTCCTAGTATTAAATATTTAATCTTAATTACTTTTATGTGTATTTTAATTAATATCCCCTAATTAATTGTTTTATGAGGTACATACATTCAATTCATGTTTATGCTTTTTTTTTTCCTCTGTAATTTTGAAAATTTACACACAAGAATTACATATTTTTCCAGATTCTTTTCAATAATTCTTTATTTTGAGTGCTTATTTTCCAGTTATTTGAACTAATATTTCTTATTGACAATTATTATTATTCAATTACTTCATAGCAGTTGCCTGTAAATAGAATTCCAAAGAATTACATAAGAATATAATATTCCTTACTGATGATCTTCGTAAATTGAAGTTTAAAAAAAATTCTTGTTATAGCAGATGATAAAAATGTTTATTTTCTTGAAACAAATGCACATATTTAGATAAATTTTAAGTAGATAAATTAAAGTGAAAATAAGTCCTCTGATAAGATATGTAATCATATGAATTACTATGGAAAAAAGTAAATAAACATTACACCTCCCGCCGTATAGTAACATGTTTAGATGTTTCGAGCTGGATCTTATTAAATATTTGTTGACATCTTTCGGCTCATTTTGTAGCAGAAAAAGCTTTATTAGAGGTAAATTGTAAAAGAAATAGATAGCCTAAAGCTGTTTATCTCCTAGCAAATTGAAAAGAAGTCCGCAATTTGTTTGTGTTTGAAAAACGTTCGCTATTATTTGTTTGTGCTCGAATATTCCTTTCTTGTAATTTTCAGTTTTTCATCTCTAATTTCTTTTTCGTAATATTAAATTGTGTGTCAAAGTTAGTAATACCCAATACTATTTCTTCAGGGGAAGAAAATGCCCTACGCTAACCAACCTTCGGTACAGCTCAGTGATTTAACAGAAGAAAATGTTAAATTCATTATTGAAGACACTGATTTAAGGTGATTCAAACTATTTTATCGAGAAGTTGTTTTGTTTAAAAAAAAATTTGCAATTTTTTTAGTTAATTTTTATACATTTGATTTGTCTAGAATTGCACTTTTGTTAATTTTGGTTGATATGGCATTCGCTTGTTCTTAGTTATATATTTGATTATGTATTTTTGATTTTGTTCATATTTCTTTTGCTTCGCATCCTAACGTTTGACGATGATTATTGAATTTCACGATTATTGAATCACTTAATATTATTATCGTATTTCCCCATGATTAAATATTACCAAACTGTTCTCTGAAATTTTTAGACTGTGAAACCAGGTGCTGAAAATTTTCATGTCTGTGTACTCCTCAAGATATTATATTAAATGTCATATAAACAGAATATTTTTGTCTAAAATGTTTTGTTCAATTTAAACTTCTTGTGTTTATTAATATTTTCTTGATGTATTAATTGGTATAGAATAATTTTTAACCTTTTATTATTTCAAGTCATTTGTGTGCTGAATATAATTAACTTTAGACGTTATTTTACATAATTTAAACAAGTGTTGGAAAAACAGATTTTTTTTTTTTTGGTCAAAAATCGATTTTTTTTTTATTTCTCAATATAATATACTAGATAATATTCTAAGCCATTGATTGATATTAAATAAACTATTCAGAAGTATTTCATAGTATTTCTATTAATTAGTGTTCTCGATAATAATTCAAAAACATCCACTTTTGTTCCTAAAATGTGCTTACATAATTATAAGGACTGTATACTTTATCTATGCTTTTTATTTTACTTTAAAGCTCCATTTAACATGCAAATAAGCACTTGACCTATAAATTGTATAGCAATACTTCAATATTATTTAATATTGTCATTGTTAGTACAGTAGAGAATGAATTATCCGGGATGTTCGGGACCTTCGCTATCCCGGATGTCTGAATTTCCCGGTTTTCACCAAAAATTGTCGTGAACCGATGCTTTATGGAACCCAAATTACAAAGAAAAAGTGTAACACATTTTAAAGTAAGAGAAAAAAAGAAAAGCATTCCTAAATTTAAAAAGAAAAGAAAAAAATTGTAGAAAAATAACATTTAAAAGAATAAAAAAATTTTTTTGCAAGTTTCGACAAGAAAAACAATTTTAAAAAATACAAAATTCTCATGTTTATTTTTTAAAAATAATTTCAATTCCTAAATTAACTAATATAAACAAAATCAATGATTAAGTAATGCAATATATTTCATACCTAATTATCCGGGAGGGAAAACGATAAAATAAAAGGAAAACTTATTAATCTAAATGAAAATTATCGAACTGAAACGATAGTTAAAAAAGGCACTAACATAAATATTAAAACCCGGAACAAGGCAAGATCAATAAGATCAACGAAATTTTTAAAAAAAGATGGAAACAAAAACCTAATGATAAAATTGATGAATAAAAAGAATTAATTTATTGAGTGCGAAATTTATTGTGAAAAGAAAAAAATAAAAACAAAAGTATAGTGGAATCAAAAAACAAAACTGCCATCTGCTTCATAAAATAATCGTATGTTTAAATTAATAAACAATTCTTTTATTTTTTTTATAAAAACACATTTTTTTTTTGTTAATCAATGTCACATAGATAAATATATTTTTCTCTTTCATTTTCTGTTCACTGATATGCATGTGCAATGCATTTCCCCCACCCCCTCGTAAATCAAAGCGAAAATGAAATCAACATGCCACTCCTTTGAGTTTGATTGACGGCCTAAAGGAGAAAATAAAACATTCATCCCTTCCCTGCCTCCTCTCGATCTGAAGATCTTCAAAGTCACGGAAGAAATGGTAAACAGGGGCTTCCCTTGGTAAACGGGGAAAAAAATTCTCCCCTTCCTCTCATTTTCCTTTACTCAACTTCAAGGATAAGTCCAATTTCCGTTTTTTTCTTCATAATCGTTTTAGTTTAAAATGGCTGGAAAACCGAGCAAAATTTCCCCCGGTTTTCTGGTTTCCCGGAGCATTGAACTTGTATTTGGAAATTTCTGTTAACAGATGAGAAAATGCTTTATTTGAATATAAAAAAAAATAGAAATATTTAATGATTTTTTTCTATTTGCATCCCCCCTTTGAAAAACTAAATTTCTGGGAGTGCATCATGTGTATGTTGCAATTTTAATTATTTGGCTAAAAATTTCCTACAAGTTGTAATTATTTTGACAATATAAATTATTGTACATCAATAAATTTAAAGCAAAGAATTAATATTGTGTGATTTGTCATTGAAACTTGTAAATAGAATAATAAAGAAAACATAAAAATTCTTGAGAAAATGTTACGATTAGTAGTTTTGTATTTATTATATGGAGTGTTAAGCTATTTAGAGTGCTGATTTAGAGTCCCATTAATTAAGAGATAAAAATTGAAATAATTTTAAATAATCAAACAGCAAAACATCTTTCTCTTGTGAATCAAACCTATGCTATCTTATATAATTCTACAAGCATATATAACTTCCTTAATTGCTTTTTTTTTGTTTTGTTTTAAAGGCTTACACAACATTTTTAGTCTTTTAACTATTTGCCAGCCTGTTATAAAATTTTAAAAACACTATTAGAATTGACTGAGGTCTGAAGAGATTAATCAGTTATAAAAAAAACCTATTTCCAGTTTAATATATTATAAATACAGAAAATTGTTATAATTTTTCAAAATGTTTGGAGGTAATTTTGCCTAGAAATCTCTTAGAGGAGAGTGAAATCGCTTCCATCATTTTGTCTCGTCTTTATTTATTTATTTATTTTTATAATTTTTTATGGAATTTTTACCAATGAAACTGGAATAATTAAACAATAGAACTGGAAAAATGACCACACAATTACAAAATTATTCGTTTGATAAGTCAATCATTAGCTTAAAGATTATTCAAAATAGTTAGTTTTTAAATAATAGTATTTTACATTAAATGAAGAAAGAAGCATTTTTTTATTAACAGTTGCAAATTTTTAATCACCGGTTTGTTCAGATTGTTCTCTGCCTTCAATAGAATGAAACAAAAGAAGAAAAATAGCATTAAGCGTTTTAATAATTATTATTTTAATTATTTTATCTTGTTTTATTTCTTTTAGTGTTGCAAATAGCCTTCGTAGAGTTTTCATTGCTGAGGTTCCAATGTTGGCCATTGATTGGGTTCAATTGGAAGCTAATTCTTCTGTCTTACATGATGAATTTATCGCTCATCGCCTTGGCTTGATTCCCCTCACAAGTGACGATGTTGTAGATAAAATGCAATACTCCAGAGTAAGTGAATGAAGCTAGGGTGGCAAGTTTTTGACAGTTATGATCATGGATAAAATTACCACAACAAAGCATGTATTATGAACCTAAAATTTACATCTACATATTTGTAAAAATATTCATATTTGAACTAGCGAGTTGCATATAATGCCTAAGACTAATTATTATATATTCTTTTTAGTATGCAATTTAATATACATAAAAAAAAACTTTTATGCTGCTATTGCGTTTGATAAAAAAATAAAATGAAATGAAATTTTAAGCTGAAAAGTTAAATTTTTGTACTAAATTCTAATAAAAAAAAGTGTTGCACCTTTTAGTAATTTGAAGTCAAATATAGCCTTATACTTTTTAAATGTGTATGTAAAGTAATACTGAAAAAATGTTTTGAGGGAATTTTAATTGTAATATACAAGAATTCGGAATGGATTTTAAAAATCATATATGTTTTTAAGCGCAATTAAGCTCAGTATTTGTCAGACAAATGTGCATTTTAATTGAATTTGTTATTTAACCTCTATGCCAAAAACTATTTGTTTCATCCCAACGATGACCCTTTATTAATTTTCATTTTTCATAGCCTTTGTTAATATTTTAATTTAGGATTGCACCTGTATAGATTTTTGCCCTGACTGCTCCATTGAATTCACACTGGATGTGAAATGCAACGAAGAACAAACTCGTCATGTTACAACTGCTGATATGAAATCAAGTGATCCTAAAGTAGTCCCAGTAAGATACACTCATATTTTATTTTATATCCGTTGCTGAACAGCTGACCCAATTTTTTGGGTTTACTACTACTTTATAGCCTTCCTTGTTTTGAAACCAATCTGGAAGACAAGGAAGCTCCTGCATCAAGTATTGGGAGAAATTTTACCCTCATAAAGGACTTTTTGATGGAACCAACCCGCATGTTGTTTTACATGGAAAGGAAAACCACGAAAATCTGCCATGGTTAGCCTGACAGCAAGCGGACTCTAATCTATGATCCGTCTACCACTGAGGATATTTTACGTCACCACAGTGTTCAGTGCAAGCCGGATGTGGGCGTATCGACCAGCCATCGCTGGGATTCGAACCCGGTGCTCCTCATTGGTAGATGAACTCTCTATCCCCTGAGTCATCATGGCTCAGATCCACTCATATGAAATCTTTTTTCTAATGAAGAAAGGGTATACTTTGTGCTGCATGTTGTAAATGAAGCTAAATAACAGGCAGTGGGCCTATATCATTTTGACCTAAAATTTTAGAATGATCCAAATATAAATCAAATGTCATGGATACTATTAAATTGGAGCTCAAAATTGTAAATTTAGTCTATTCAATCATGGTGGCTCAGGGGATAGAGCACTCGCCTTCAATGAGGTGACTCAGGTTCGAATCCCAGCGATGGCAGTTCGATAATAATTCTGCATCTGGCTTGCTCAGACCACAGTACTGATGTAAAATATCCTGAGAGGTAGACAAATCATGGGTTAGAGTCCCTTTGCCTTTAAGTTAACCATGTGAGGTTTTCATGGTTTTCCTCTCTATGTAATGCAAATACGGTTTATTTCCTTTAAAAAGTGTAGGCAAATTTTTTCCAATACTTTATCCAGGTGTTCCTTTGCCGTCTGGATCTGGTTAAAAATTATAAGGCTATGTTGTGGAACTTAAACTGTCGTAAACTCAAAATTGGGTAGGCTGCTTAATAACAGTGATAAAATAAAACTTAGTCTACTATATTTCTATATATAATTAGGATATATCAAATGTTTATTCATTGTTCTTACAGCTTTAAATCTACAGCATTAGAAATTTAGTTGCAAGATTGTCCCACAAAATAAAATGTGCATTTTCTTCAAATAATATAATTTTCTCATCAACAATTTTCTGTTTTTTATTTTTACTGAGCCAATAGATGAAGGTCTAGTGGCTGAAGCAAGTATTCTTGCACGGAAAATGCTTCTTTATGTGCTTCATTGTCGTAACTAAAGAGAGGAAAAAGTGCAAAGAAGAAACTTCTGTAGAAAAAATTATTTTCTTCAATATATATATTTTCCAGGGTGACAGAATTATTTCATCAAATAAGGATTTTCATCTTTAGTTCAATTGATTTGATCACCAGAATTATTGAAAGGACTCACTAAATAAACTATTTTTTAAAATTATTTAATATTTTCCTTAACAATTATAAAGTAATATCCTTAACCTCAGGTTTCTGTGATTGTAAACTCATGATTTTAGCTTTTGAGGTACAAAATTAGTTTTTATGTTTTATTATTTTGAAGGTTATCAGACTTTTTCTTGTTTAATTGTTATTCAAATGTAGTTGAAGTTTGACTATGACAGAGATCCTGCGCTATAACTCGTCAGCAAAAACTGTAGTACGGACACAGAAAAAGATTTGTAATTCTCCATCGAGGAAAAAAAACACAGAATGGCATCCTAGCAGTTTTATGTTGACAGAATTAAACCAAACTTCAAAGAGAAAAAAATATTCTAGATTAAAAATAGAAGGTGAAAATGATCCAGAGTATCAATTTTCATGGATGCTTTTCCTTGATACAAGTGATTCAGTTCTAATTAAAAACTGTGATTTCAAATCTAATTTTTTCCTTTTTAAAAATTCCTTGCTGTTTATCGACGGATGGAATCCATATAAGTGTGCATATTAATAGATAAAGAATTCATTGATTTCTCAATATAACAAATAGTTTTTTATGTTTTCTTCGAAGACTATCTTTGCCTCTCTTCTCTAGATTTTTTTATTCACAATTTTTAAAACATCGTTTGAAATATTAATTTATTTTATTTTGCATGGAATTTCGAAATTCTTGAAAATTTAGAATGTTAGGAAAGATTTATGTTGTTTTAAATTGGATGCCGCACATTTAGTAAAAAAGAAAATTTGAAAGTCATGGATCCTAAGAGCCTGTAGCTTCCAAAGTCTAGCAGAATCACTGTTATAAAATATTCTGTGTTTGAAAGTCTTTTTTTTTCTTTTTGTGTTCATCATTTAACCTTTCATTTTTTTTCTTTCAGATTCTGTTTTGCAATCCTGTACCGTATTTTCTTTCTTGTGTATTTCATATGCTCAATTTGTTGTTTTTTATTTTTATAACTATGACTGTCGTACAAAAATAATATGGAAATATTTCATAGTTCAAGTTTTCTTTCTTTTTTTTTTAAATGTTTATTATTCACTTTTAAGTGACATCATTATTGTTTAAACTATAAATTTTATAAATGGCAGATTTATGTATTTATTAATTTTTTTGTGTTTTAATATTTACTTTTATATCCTATATAACAACTTTAATTTTTGTAGGTAACTTCCAGACATAGGGAAGATGATACCAGTGAATATTGTGGAACTGATGGTAATTGGGAATATTTAAATTTAATTACTTGCATATTTGGTGTTGATTAAATTTTTCCCCTTACCCTTTTCTATGTTTTTTTTAATCAAACTCTAATTTTTTTTTACCAGGATTTTCTTTTTTTATCTACTGTATATTTTCATTTGTAAGCAGGTAGACGAAACGAAGAGCTGAATTTTTTCCACTTAATGAAGAGAGCAAAGCAAAAACTTTATGGCGTGAACACCTTTCTATCTTGACTGCTAAAAAAAATCAAATTTTTTATAGAAATATAATTGAAAGCCATTAGAAAACCTACGTAAATAAACTGGATAAAATTACCTTTAACAGAATTTTTTTTATTATTTTTTATGTGAACTGCAATGGTTAATCATAGGTGATTGTATTCCAGGTCTAAAAATTAAGAGTAGGGCTGGTTATTTTTTTAAAGGGAATTCTGGTAAAACAATTTTCAAGACCATTAATTTGGGGATTTCTACCAATTAAAAACCTAGTCCGTTTGTTGGATGTTCACTGTTTTAATATTTGAAACTATGATGGAATCCTCTAATATTGTGAATCATATTCACGCGATTTTAATATAAAGCATGGATTTTCGTATTTACCTCATTTAAAAGCTGCATCGTTCATCGAGATTCTTATTCACGTGATTTAAATACCCAATGTCGCGATTTGTATTTTTGCATTCTTAAATCTCAATATCGCGATTTGTATTTTCACGTTCTTAAAACGCAATATGATTTTCTGGCCAGTAAAAATGTGCTGACAACAATGGAAAACTGCGACAGCATCATTACACTTTAATATATAGTTACATCCTGCAATTTCTTCAACAAGCCCCAGAAGGTAATCATTGTAGAATTGAAATAATATTTTTTTTAAGGTTCTATTGATCCGAGTTCGCCTCAAATGTTCTATCTGACTCTCAATATTTTATTTGAATTCAACATAAAAGCAAAAAACGTTCATGCTACTTTCTATTCACTAAAATTGGTCCTGACATCTAAATTTTTTCTATGTTTGTAAACACTGTGTATTCAGTGTATCTTACGTTAAACACTTTTCATTCAAATAAACTAATTGGAAATTTTAAAATTAATTTATTTAATTTTTTGTTTAATATTATGAATTCGATAACGAAAATTTTCCAGAATTTGGTACTTGCATTTCAAGAAAACCACATATTATGACACATGTGACCTATGACGTCAGCTTCAGCTAATCTTTATCATCAATATGGAGTATTGAAGTTGAGCAAAGTTTCTCTACATAACTTAAAATGTTAATCAACTTTATGTAAATTAAAAACAGAGCACATCCAATGAGTTGAAATATAATTCTTTCACGTCTACTTCTTTTACTTTACTGAGATTTAATGTTTGTTTATTATAAGCATGATTTTTTTTTGTTTTGTGTACCTGGCAACTTCTTGCCCGTGTTTGTGTAAACATATAGTGAAAGAATTGAAATCTTTGTGAAAGAATATAGGCTATGTTACTTAAGAGAATTGGTACTTGACAAGCTTGGCTTACTTGAAATAGAATGAATGGAAAGAACAGTTGCTAACGTAAACAAATGCCACATGTCGACAACCCATCAGGATCGAGATACCCCACACTTGCCATTAAATGTAGTTTTGTCTGCCTCGAATCATTTAAAGCTTTTGTGTGGTTCTCGTAAAAATGTATTTCATAAAGATCTATTTGGATTTTTTCTTTTCATATTAGCATCTATGTTTTTCGCTTAAATAAACGTGTTTAAATCCTCATAATTTCATGTGTTCTGTGGGAAGAGTCGTTATCGACAATGTCGACCTTCGTCTATGAAAAGAATCGAGTACCCCACCCTAGAAACGAGTTAATATGTCGTATGCACTAGTGAAGTGGAATTATATTTTTGTAGTGGTAGATACACTACCTATTCATTGTAAGTTTTTTTTGCTTTTATTTCACAGGATGCGTAGCATTTTTTAAAAAGTGCTGGCAGGTGCTTTTTTTTATATGGGGTTTGTAAAAGATGCTTAATTTTCTGTCTTTTAAAAAGAGTTTTTTTTTCTTTGCCGTATCGATTGTCGTTCTAAATTACGAAAAGAAAAAAATTCACGATTTTCACAATTTTCTCTTCGATATTCATCAGAAATTAGTTATTCTATCATGTTTATGTAAAGATTTTGAAAATGTTTTCGAATTTTATTGATTTTATGTTTATAAGTTAAGAGCTTTAAACAATAGAATAACTAATATTATTTTAATAAAATAGTAAAAATTAATTTTTCTATCATGTTTGTGTAAAGATTTTGAAAATGTTTTCGAAGTTTATTGATTTTGCGTTTATAAATGAAGTTTATAAGTTTTATCATGATTTTGTAAATTTTTTGAAAGTGTTTTTAATTTTATTTGTTTTATGTTTATAAACTAAGAACTTTTAACGGTAGAAAAAAATCATTTTTATTACGGCACATATCCTAGTTATAATTTTTGGAAAGAGATAAAAATATTTTTTGAGTGCTTAAGAAGTGTTTATAAGGTGCTTATTATTTTATTTCATTTTTTGAAAAATCTGGTGTTTTAGAAACTTTTTTATTGATGTTGTGCATTATTGAAAAAAGCCTCTTTTATAATTTATTAGATATCCTCATTGTTAAACTACGTAAAGGTCAAGAGGTGAAAGCGAGAGCATATGCTAAAAAAGGATTTGCTAAGGAGCATGCAAAATGGAATCCAACGTGTGGTGTGGCATTTGAATATGATCCTGACAATGCATTTCGTCATACAACATATCCCAGGCCTGAAGAATGGTATGCTTCTTATTTTTCCACATCTTCTATCAGAATTCAATTTAAAAAGACTGTTATCTCTAATACTCTTCTAGAGCTATGATGGCTCAGGAGATAGAGCGTTCGACTTCCAATCACCGAGTTCGAATTCTGCTGTGACTGCGATACAAATTCAGCACCCGGTATGAATTCTGCACCCAGCTCACACTGACCATAGCGCTGGTGTAAAATATCCTCAGTGGTAGACGGATCATGGGGTAGAGCCTCCTTGCCATCAGGCTAACCGTGGGAGGTTCTCGTGGTCTTTGTAACGCAAATGCGGGTTAGCTCCATCAAAAAGTCCTTCACGAAGGCAAATTTCTCCTAATACTTGATCCAGGAGTTCCATTGTCTTCTGGATTGGGTTCAAAATGACATGGCTACAGAGTTGAGCATTAATAGTCGTAAACTCTAAATTAAGTCGGCGGTTCAACGATGGTAATAAAATAATATTATGATAAAAAAATCCTAATTAATAAAAGGTTTCTTCAGCATATTTATGAAAATCAATCACAATTTCAAAGGACTAATCTAGAAATTGAAATTAAGAACGTAGAATTAAAGAGTAGAATGATGTTAGACAAAAATAATTTTTGCTCTATATGATCAGACTCTCTCTCTCACACACAGTGGTGGCCAAAAGTGTGGACATTTTTTGAAAGTTTCATGTTTTTCAAATTTGTGTGCTTGTAGAATATATTAGTTTTTCACTTAAATACAAACGTTTATTTATCAAATTGAAGATAATTTAATGTAGAATTTAATAAAAAATACAGTATTACAATATCTGTATTACAAAAAAGTTGTGCTCATTTTAATAGAACAAACAAACACAAATCGTTTTGAATAAGGACGTATTTTGTAATAAAAGCGTACTAGCCAATCACAAACTATCGCTTCTTAGGACTAATCAAATGTCTGTAATTATAGTTTAGGTTATTTGGATGGTAAAAGAGTTATTGTTGTGGAAATATTTGATATATAATATATATGTTGTGGAATACTGATGCATATTAGTACAATTAAATAGAGTATTGCTGTTTTTGAATATTTAAAGTCCTTTTTTTTTAAATTAAACTAATTTTAAACAATGTCATCAACAAGAAGAACTAATTGGACATCTACAAAAAGAAGCCGAATTGTCATATTGAGAGAAAATGGCCTCTCTTATGCTGAAATTGCAAGACAAGTTGGTGGTTCAGTGACTTGTTCTGGTGTACGAAAGTTCTGTTTACGTTATGAAAAAACGAAATCAGTGGAAAATAAAGCCAAATCAGGCCGAAAAAAATGCACAAGTGCTACTGCCGATAGAAAAATTAAACGGCTATGCCTTCAAGATAGAAAAATTTCATCAGATGCCATTAGATGTGAAATGAATGCAGCGGGTATTGCAGTAAGTTCAAGAACAATAAGAAGAAGGTTATCAGGATTTGGACTACAAGCTAGAATTCCAAGGAAAAAACCATATTTAAATCAAAAGCAACGCGAAAAACGAGTTAAGTGGGCAAAAGAACACATTAAATGGTCAGAAAATCAATGGAAGCAAGTAATCTGGAGCGATGAGAGTAAAATATCGCTCTTTGCTAGTGATGGTAGAAAATATGTGAGACATAGAGTAGGTGAAGCACTTCATCCTGATTGCATTGAAGCAACTACAAAAAACCCATACCTTGATACCTTCCATCAGGGATCTCTTCCCCAACAACGCACCATTTATTTTTCAGCAGTCTTCAGCTCCATGCCACACAGCAAAAGTATGCAAAGCATGGTTTCAAGATGAACTCCAAACACTCGTTCACTCGATGAAAAGACGCTGTGAAGCTGTCTTTAAAAATAAGGTTTATCCTACTAAGTATTGATTGTGTAAATATCACTTTTAAAAAATGCAAATCTAAGATCTTACTATTAGTTGCATAGCATTTTTTGTAATTAAGATATTGTAATACTGTATTTATTATTAAATTACCTTCAATTTGACATATAAACGTTTGTATTTAAGTGAAAATTAATATATTCTACAAGCACACAAAGTTGAAAAACGTGAAACTTTCAAAAAATGTCCACACTTTTGGCCACCACTGCATATATGTGTAATATCAAGATGATCATAACAACAAAGCAACAAGAAATATCTTATACTCCTGTGTAATATTTTAATGAAGCTAATCTTGTAATCAGGTTTTTAACATTAAAAACATGCACAATTTTTCAAATAGCAAATTTATAATATTAATTTTACACATTAACAAATTTATATTGTAATTTTACCTAAGCAAATACAATAAACTCTTGATATCTCAATTTTTTTTTCTAGATTGTAAGTTTTCGAGATAGCAAGTTCCGTACTAAATATGTTCTAAAAAGTAGAAAAATATGTTCTAAAAAGTAAAGTCGTGAAGAATAACTAGTAATAAATATGTATGTAATGATAGTTGACTGTAAGTCTAAATACGTAATTTTATTTTTAAGAGGGAGACAAAATTAAATTGAAAAATTTGGCTTACTTTGTGATTTTTCTGAAGAAATACATTTTATATTTTCAAAAAAATATTGAAATAACAAAGTTTTGAAAAGAAACCCTTCGACATAGGAATTCAAAAAATTAACATTAGGTAAATCTATAATGACAAGGGGAAAAATATTTTTTGGTCATAACAAGATTTTCGAAATATCGAGAGTATACTGTATTTATATTCTTATTTATATGTTAATTAAATGTTTTAAATGTACTATAAAAACCATATAGCTATGTATAATGTTTATGTATATATAAACTTTATTATATTGATGGTGAATGTTTTTCGTTTGCAGGCCTAAGAGTGAATATACTACTATTGATGATGATAAAGGTAATTTCTGTTTTTAAATTAATCAGTAACATTTAATTGCAATTATTTTAAAGTAACCCATATTTAGTTACGTGCAGTGTGTACAGGTATATTCTAAATCTGTCTCATTCGACTCTAGGACTATTACATAGACTTATCTTTAGTGTCCATCAAAAAATCTGTACTAAATAAGAATCGAGGAGATGTCATGGCTCAGGAAATAGAGTTACTTTCTTCCCAACGAGGTGAGTGAGATCTCGAGGACGGCTGGTCGAGTCTAATTACGCTCCTGGCCTGCATCTGCCATACTGACGCAGAAAATATTCCCAATGTCGACAAAAACATGGTTTCTGAAACAATGGGTTCAGATGATTTTCAGATTGTTTTTATTTGCTTATCTTAATAAGCTATTGAGTTAATTTAGATGAACGTTTTTATAATATGTGCCTCAAAAAGTGTTTTTTTTTAAATTTTAGTTTTTTAATTTCCAAATTTTTTAAGAGTTACTGCAAAAAAAATCAAAATGATTGTACTGAAATTTCCATGGTATGCATTTCTTTTCTGTTTAATAACATGGGGAAAACTATTTTTTGATACTCAGAAAAGCCTGCATTTTGAAGTTCGGAAAAAGTTTGGACTAATATTTAGTCAATTTTAAAGTTAATTTAGATACAGACTTTGAGATTACTAAAATATTCTTATTTAGAGGGTATAGCAAAAAATTATTTTCCGTTAAAATTAAGACTAAAAGTTTTAATTTTTCTCTTTTCATTTAAGCGTGAACCCTGATTTTGATGAGTTATCATAAGTCTTCTTGACAAAAAATTCGAGACAAAATCTTTTTTTTTCTTTCCAGCTGAAGCTGAGTATGTTCCTGATGGGAAACCCAATAAATTCTTTTTCAATGTGGAGTCGTGTGGAGCCATTCGGCCAGAAAATATTGTACTGACCGGCCTCAATATACTGAAGAAAAAACTGAGTGACCTTCAGACACAGCTGAGTCATGAAATGCAAACAGATGCATTGGCCATCAGCTGAGCTTATTCATCTCTCCAGGAATGTTTCAACTCAATGTGTATAAAGTTATTAAAATGATGTGAAGTTTTAAGCATGTTTCATTTCTCTTTATTTTCTTTAAAGTTTAACATGACAGGGAATTTTATAATTACTCCATACAATCTGTTAAAACACTCAGGTGGAAAATCACTCTCCATTTACAAGAGGCTTGAGATTAGGTGCCTGCATAGCTGCCAACTCTACTGGAAATAATCAATAACTGAAGGAAATAGCTCATAAAAAATAACAGTTTTTATTGTAAACAAAAATACTTAATTATATTATTTCGAATGGATCATAGTATTCCAAAGTATGGTTACAATTAACCTTAAAACAGTAGTTATCAAATCAAAGTTAAAGGAAACGATGAGGAGCTTAAACAACTGGTAAAGTGAACGGGGATGCCGATAACAGCGAAACTCAATACCTACAATACACGATACAGAGTGGCATAGAGCCTTCCAGTGAGGCGATCCGACTTCAAATCCCTGCAATGACTGATCGATACAAATTTCGCACCTGGCTTGCACAGTGCTGATGTTAAAGTATCCTCAGATGTAGACGGATCATGGGTTAGTCTCCTTGCTGTTAAGCTCGCCATGGTAGGTTGATTTTCCTTTTTATGTTACGCAAATTCTGGTTAATTTCATCGATAAGTCCTCCACAAAGGCAAATTCCTCCCAATACTTGATCCAGGAGTTCCCTTGCCTTCTGGATTAGGTTTAAAATGACAAGGCTACGGAGTTGAATATTAGTAATCGTGAACCCAAAATTGGGTCTGCTGTTCGACGATAGTTATAAAGTACACTAATTTTACAATACAATGTACATTGGGTCGGCTCTTCAACTCTAGTTATAAAAGTAAATTAAAATACATGATGCAGTGCTGCTGAGGCTCAGGGTATCGAGCACTTCCCTCCCAATGGTGACCTATGTTCAAATCTCAGCGGTGGCTGGTCTACTGGTCATTTTGAATTCTAGCCATGGCTTTTTTATAAGTTTACAGTGCTGAGGTAAAATATCCCCAGTGGTAGATGGATGATGGTTTTTTTTTATAGTTTTCACACCATATAACACAAATGCGGGTCAGTTCCATCAAAAAGTCCTCTATGAAGGTTAGTTTGTCCCAACGATTCGGGGGTTGCCTTGTTTCCGAGGTTGAAGTTTAATATTACAAGACTGCAGAGTTGATGGCTCTGACGTGCACCGACCAGTGTTCACCTATAGAATATCCTAAGTAATGGAACGAATCATGAGATAGAACATGTGCGAGTTTTCCTCTCCATGTAGGGTATAGAGTGCTCCCTTCCCGATGGTGATCTAGGTTAGATGGTTGGTTAATTCGAATTTTCCCCCTGGCTCGCTAAGACCACAGAGCTGACATCTAAAATATCCTCAAATAGTTAATGAATCATGGGACGGGTTTTGTTCCCCTCTCCATGTAACGCAAATACGTTTCATCAAAAAGCCCTCCACCATTGGTTAAAATAGTTTGCTGAACGGATATCGTGAAGTCTCGTTTATAGTGAACCGAAATTTTGGTCCCTTGAAGCAGTGATCTGTTTAGAAGACGGACCCTTCACAAAATATCTTTTCATAAAAACGGACCCTTCACAAAATATTTTAACTTAAAAATGGACCCTTCACAGACTTGTTTATCTTCATTATTGTTTTGCTAATCGAATAAATCCTTCCCAGGAAGGGGGAGAAAGAAAGACAAATTTAAACTAAGTTTTGTTTTCGGCAGACGCTTCTTCCTTTATTCGCCCGAAATGAATATTCTGCGTTCAGCAGTATATGCTAAATATTGTGTATGTTGCATCTCTAATTTAGAAGCAGAAATTGCTGTTTATTTTTTGAAATAAAATTTAATTTTTTAATTATAATTGTACAGTGTTGAGCATAATCTTGTATCTATTTACAATTTAAAAACTCCTTGAAAAAGTTTTTTGCAATAACAGGACCCTATTTGCACAAATTCACAAAAGCCGGACCCTGATTGAAAGAATATGACTAAACGTTTATTTTACACTGGTGTGCAAAACTTAAACAACAAGTGCGTTTTTTGTCATAACTCTACAAGAAATCATTCGATTGACATGAAATTTGAATATGATGTACATTATTTTCTACTTAAACGATGGTAAAAGAATAATGGCGCAGAAATGAATATAAAGCTTAAAGTAGGGTATGGAACAAAAAAAGGTTTTTTTGACATATAGTGGCGTTACACATGACTGCCTGAAGAAGCGTAAGTACAACTGGCAGATGTTCCTTAGTATGAGATATGCCCTCCCCTTACTGTAATTGTTGCTTGGCATCGTCTCTCTATGCTAAGCACCAGATTATCTAGGAGTTCTTGGGGTAAAAGTTTCCATTCCTCCTTTAACGCATCTTTCAGCTGATGGATGTTACCAGGAGGATACTGTCGTGTCGCAAGACGTCTCCCTAATGCATCCCACACATGCTCTAATCATGCTTCCCAATCATTCTTCCTCGAGTAAAGTCATCTAAATGATTTCTTGAAGACATGTTTCACAAAACAAATCACTTGCACTTGCAGCGAATGTCTTTAACTACGGTGCTCTTCATCCTTTTATCACAGCTTTGACCTGCGCGAGCCGACCCACAAAGTTTACGTATACTTATATCACCTACGACGTTTTATTTCTAAAATTTGCATACAAATAATCTTTCTACTGAATTACGGTCCCGCAGTGGACTGATCGTTAAGACACGGTTCCCAGCAGATCACCGAAATCAAGCATCGCTGGCTACGGTCAGTGTGCGGGTAGGTGACCACTTGGATCAGTCTGCATAGGGACCGACGGTGTGCGGTATTGGTCCTCGTTAAACTGTGCTACCGTAAAGTGCTCGACTTCGCGCGCAGGTCGTCGGACGACCGAAGCGGGGGTGCCATCCCCTCCGCAGAGGATCAAAATTGTGATGGCATGTCTTTGGATCATCCTCCGGGATGTTTCCCAGACCGTCGCCAATAGCCCATTGTGCAGCTTTAGTGCGTCGTAAATTAACAACAACAACAGATTAGAGGGTTATTTTAGAAGTGAAGAGCTAAACTCTTGTAAGATAACAAAAATTGAAAATGCATCACGAACATTAACGGGAAAATGGCCGTCCGCGCGGACGCCGGATTCGAAAAATTCGTTGTCCGTGGGGAATTTTTGTCCGCCAAGGACGAGCGGTATTTCGAGCCCTGAAGTCCATCATGAAAATGTAGAGTATTGTTGCTTTTCAAAATTAGATTTCTCAAGAACTCAGGTGGATTATCTTAAATATTAATTAAAGTTTTATTACAGGTCGCGGTGATCGAAATCAATATTAAAAATAAAGCAATTAAACGCAACATTTCCACTTTAAATATTCAAGAGAAACCTGTTGATAAAAGGTTTAATGCTTCGATAAAATAAGCATTGTTAACATTACTTACTCAAATTCGTACAACCTTCGTAACTTAAAGTTTTATATTTTTTGTCAAGCTAAACAAAATGTGCAGTAAAACAAATCAATAAATAAAAGAGAGAAAGAGAAATTAGGAGAAAAGAAGCCCCACTTAACTCTGCAATTATTTTTTAAAATTAACTTCGTGTTAAGTTCATAAGTTTAGCATGCCAAATTGTTTACTCCGTAATTGTATTTCTGAGGTCTGCTGAGTGGCCCACGTGCTATTTTTTACTACAAGACACATTTCACTACACATTTTCTAACTAATTATTGAATGCCAATTTTTTTCTTACATTAAATTTAAATTTACTTTTTTTTCGTCCTAAAACAATAAAGCTAAATTCTCAGAAGAGCGGTGGCGAATGCAATTCTTTAATATACTCTTGATATCTCGAAAACCTTTGTTACGTCAAAAAAATATCCCCCCCCCCTTAGCATTATATAGGGGAGAGTCGGGTAGCCCCGCTCACTTAAGGAGTATTGCTTATATTTCTGTATAATACTGAGTAATAATCANGTTTATTTACTCTTCATCTTTCACCATCCCCTCCGCAGAGGATCAAAATTGTGATGGCATGTCTTCGGATCATCCTCCGGGATGTTTCCCAGACCGTTGCCAATAGCCCAACGTGCAGCTCTAGTGCGACGTAAATTAACAACAACAACAACTTCATCTTTCACCTTTTTGATTTTATCAACCTATGTTTCCTCATAAGAACCATGTATTTTAAACTGAAATATATTCTATAAAGGGTTATTAAGCAATTTTTATCTACTTTCTTACTTCGATAAATTAACTTACGTTCATGAGAATTTATAAGTAAAAAATGCCTAAAAATGATACACTAGGAGCCGCATACGCTTCTCGCACGCGGTGTTTATGTGGAGTAGAGGGCCGATATCTCTAAAATACCTGGGCCGGTTTTAGGTCCCAGTCCGGGCCTGTGTGGACCCCTCTTTTAAGTGTGCCACTTTTAACCCCCCCCCCATATTAAGAAGACCATCCATGCCTCTGACCGGGATTCGAACCCGGGTTCCCTTATAGACAAAGTCAGCTCCTTAATCACCATACCAGAAGGAAAGATTATTTTAAAAAAACTATACATCCTAATTAAGTAGATAAATGTTCATATTTCAATTTAAAAAATACTAGATATGCTCAAAATAATGAATAGTGCGTTTTTTTATTTATTCATTTATTTCATTTAACAAATCAGTTGAAATTTTTCAAACTAGTCCCTTTGTCAACTCATTTTTGAACAATACATTAAGGTATAATGTCTTAGAATTTTTTTTCTTCTCCTCTTTTAAGAAATACGGATAAGTTAATCAAATAATGTGATATCAGAAATGATATCACATTTATAGAGTCAAAAGCGCATTTATCAATCATTGTTTAACAACAAAAGCAAAAAAGAGTCATTATCACCTTTATCATCAAACTTCTGGTACATTTTACCTGTAAAAGGTGAAGATAAGGAGGTGGATTACTTCAGCAGCAGATGGGTGATGGATATCGGGCAGCTCTACAAAATACTTTATGTGCTCGCCATTCTTTCGTGTGCTTGTTTCGTCATCTTTTATTTGATTCCATATGAGAACTCAGGTAATTTAAGATTCATTCTTCTACTTACGAAGAGTCAAAATGTATTTATTTTATAACCGTCGGTGAACAGCCGATCCAATTGTATGGTTTTACGGCAACTCATGTTCAACTCCGGAGCCTTGTCATTTTGAACCCAATCCAGAAGACAAGAGAACTCCAGTATTTGCCTTCGTGGAGAATTTTTTGACGGAACAAACTCGCATTTGCGTTACATGGTGAGGAAAACCTCCCATGGTTAGCCTGACGGCAAGGGGACGCTAACCCATGATCCGCTTACCACCGAAGATATTTTACATCGACACTGTGGTCGGGTGCAGTCATCGCTGGGATTCGAACCCGTTTAACCTCATTGGAAGGCTCTATCCCTTGAGCCATCACGGCTCAAGAATCACAATTCGTTACATGGACCGATCAACCCTAAAACGGGCCCCAATGGTGTATCTTGAGGGGCTGCACATCCCCTAACGTAGCCTTGGAGGAGGGCCAAATTTAAGTTACATAATTATAAATGGATTCCAAAATAAAATGCCCATTTTGATGTCACTGTTTAAAACTCTCTTTTGTTAATGAATTTATAAATGTATACTGTAAAAGTCCGACAGTTTATAATAGCAGATGAATTTGTTATTATAATAGCGAGCTTGTCGTTATACGCAAATATGCACATTTAATGTTAAAATAACCAAAAAAAAATTTAAAATGTTATGTACCACTTTTTATTTTATCTTTATTTTAAATAAATTTTATTTCAAATCTAGAGCATCGGTTGTGGAACCCCAAATAATAAACCATTTTTCGTCGGAACCCTGACATTATAAATAAAATTTATGAATGAAATTGTGAGAGTTATAATCTACAAAAGACTATTTTTAAAATATTTAATTAGAGAAATGATGTTTTATTCCATTGTTTTATCATTAATAATCTTAAATCACATAGCCACTTTGGTAAATGTCCGAAATATATACCAGGTCCAGTTAAGTTCCACTGCCCGGTATGCCATACATCAATGTTTTTTTAAGGTCAACTTAAATTGATTTGCTAAAAATAAATAAATAATAAAAACGTACTATTAATTATTTTGAACTCATCTAGTTTTTTTTAAAAATCGAAATATGAACATTTATCTACTTTTTGAATAATGCATAAGCTAATTAGGATGCATACTTTTTAAAAAAAAAAATAATCTTTCCTTCTGGTATGGTGGTTAAGGAGCTGACTTTGTGTCAGAAAGAACCCNTTTATTTTAAATAAATTTTACTTCAAATCTAGAGCATCGGTTGTGGAACCCCAAATAATAAACCATTTTTCGTCGGAACCCTGACATTATAAATAAAAGTTATGAATGAAATTGTGAGCGTTATTATCTACAAAAGACTATTTTTAAAATATTTAATTAGAGAAATGATGTTTTATTCCATCGTTTTATCATTAATAATCTTAAATCACATAGCCACATTGGTAAATGTCCGAAATATATGCTAGGTCTAGTTAATTTCCACTGCCCGGTATACCCTACATCAATGTTTTTTTTTTAAGGTCAACTTAAATTGATTTGCTAAAAATAAATAAATAATAAAAACGTACTATTAATTATTTTGAACTCATCTAGTTTTTAAAAAAAAATCGAAATATGGATATTTATCTACTTTTTGAATAATACATAAGCTAATTAGGATGCATACTTTTTAAAAAAAAAATAATCTTTCCTTCTGGTATGGTGGTTAAGGAGCTGACTTTGTGTCAGAAAGAACCCGGGTTTGAATCCCGGTCAGAGTCATTGATGGCCTTCTTACTGTGGGAGGTAACGGTGACCTACCTGAAAGAGGGGTCAACACATCTACCTTTCTGATACCCGAATATCAATATATGGGTGGGCATTTGGGAAGAATAAAATATATATAGTATACTCTCGATATCTCAAAGTTGAAGAGACGCTAAAAAAAATTTGAGATAGCGAGTTTTCGAATTAACAAGTTCAGAACTAAATACGTTCTAAAAAGTTAAAAAAATATATTCTAAAATATGACTCTAAAAAGTAGAGTCATTAACATAAGAGTGAAACATAAGAATAACTACTATTAAATACGTATGTAATGACAATTAACTATAAGTCTAAATACAACAATGATAATTTTATTTTAAACAGTAAGACAAAAATAATGATGCATTAGATAGAAAAGAATTGGTTTAAAATGAACTTTCATTGTGATTTTTCCGAAAAAATTCATTTTCTTATTTCTAAAAAAATTCGACATAACTAAGTTTTCGAGATATCAAGAGTACACTCTGTATATTAACAATTGAACGGGAGTTGAACTTCGGGAATTGGAATTTTTTTGGGAGTTGGGGAATTGAACAGTATTGAGAATTGAACTTTTGTGTGTTTTACTGCACAAAATCTAATGAAACTTACAAACTTGAAATTACTAAGATATGTAGAAAAATGTGCTGGAAGTGCAATTGAATGTAACCCATTATATTACCTAATTGGCAAAATGGGTGCTGTTTTGGGTTGGATGGCGTGCGCACTTTATTTCGACGTCATCACACTTTTCAACTGTGTTCAAGAATATTAGTAAACAGTGCGCATGTGTTGCTATGGCGACCGCTGCTGTTTGATAATTTTTTTAGAATTCTTTTTCCACTTTTAATTTTGTTATGCATTAGGTTGGTGAATTTATTTTTGAGATACGGGACCAGAGAGATCCCATAAATATTTCTTGAGTTGCGAATAAAAGCGAATTTCATCATTTGAATGATATTTTTGTTTTGAATGTTTTAATTAAAAATCAGAAATTCTAACCTACAGTTTAAACTGGATCGTTTTCAATACTAATTCAGGTGAATATCACAGATAAAGAGGGTCCCAAACTGACTGACACAGTCCCAAAGGTTAGAGTTGAAGTATTTATATTTAAAAAAAAAGTAGGCAGCAACCATTTTGCCAATGGATAACCTGTGATCGCCTTTGGGCAATAATTTTTTTTGTTGAAAATTGTCTTTTTTCTTTCCTTTTTTTTAAATTTATAATAAAAGTAAAGTTTAAAAAAGTTCAAAATAGGGATTGTCCTTGTTTACTTTCCCTGCTCTACAAATTTAAATTAATCCCGCAGACTGAGGTAACTCCCCTACATTAAATGGTAACTGGTTTTCGTTAAATCTGTCGGGGTCACAAAGTCCTCCTCATTCCCATAGTAAATCAATACTTCTGGGTATACTGAATTGGAAATTGATAGTTCTCTGATTCAGGTCGAAATTACGATCTGTGGACGAATGATTGGATGTATGAATGGGTCCTTGCGAAACGTGCTGTGACGCGCGCGTATGCTGCTGATATCGTATTGTTAGCCATAGATAGCGCCACTGAAAAACAAGAAACGCACCCTCTGCCTTAAATACTTGCTTGGTTTCTCAAACAAGCTTGTTGGCATGGCAAGTAGACAATAGCAACAACAATATTTATCCTTTTACGTTAAGATTTACCTCTATTATATTTAAGTTCTTAAATAGTGTAAAGTTTTCTGTTTTAATTAGCCTTTCTCTTATGCCCTTTGCCCTTATTTTTTGTTTAGCACATTATGATGCATCATCTTATTACTACAGCTTTTTAAAAAATACGTAAGACGCTGCTATTTTCGGAATAATTCGATATTAACTAAGAGCATTTATTTAATTTTTGCTCTACAATATGTTTCTTGTTTTTTTTTCAAAACATGTAAAAAAAATCATTCTTTTGTTTAAAATCGTATTTAGTACCTTATGAAAAAAAAGTCGGACTATCGTGAAAATTAAAAAAGTTTCAATTAATTTTACGAGTAGTTCATATAAATTTTGAAAGAAAGAAAGTTGAGAAAGGGTTTCATTTTGTATCACAAAACAAAATTCATTAATAAATGATACAATGGTTGTGCGGAGAGCGAAATGTATGATGAAAGAAAACATATTCTAATACAAGATAGTCCTCTATGATGCCATTTCAATTTGAGTTGCGTTTTTTAATTTCAGGGATATTTAAATATCCCTATAACTAAAAATGGCTATTGTTAACCAGGGGAAATAACATAAAGAATCAATATGGGTATTTTAAATGCAACAGAAAAAAACTGCTTTTGCTCTTTACTTCAACTTAAATCTAATGGTTGGATCTAAATATATTCGGAAGTCTTAAAACTCATCACTGGTCTTAAAAACTCACGGAAACCCTTTCACTCTTTCAAGGAACTGTGGGGTTCCGCGGAACACCATTTGTGAATAGCTGATCTGAAACTTTTGCAAACAGAAGACTGAATTACCTAGCTCTGTATTTTATGAAAGACTGATAGAAACAAAGCAGGAATGTTAGAAACAAAAAGTTTCCAAATTGTAACAAGTTTTTACTAGAAGAATTCCATCTTCCATTTAATTTTATACAGTTTTTGTATGTAACATTTTGACGGCGACGTGAAAATGTGTCGTAATAGCAAACGTTTCGTAATAGGCCGTACTCGTTATACCGAGTTTTTACTGTATTCACTTTTTTATTTAATATTGCTCATAGAAAGATTCATATTAATAAAAAAAAAAAAGACTCCGTAAGAAATAAAAATAGCTCCTTCATTTATCTATTTCGATTATTAATTATTTTTTTTAACATTTAAATAAATAAATTTTATTTGGAAAACAAAATGAAGCCATTTAAATATTAAAACTAACGCAAATAAAAAGGTAAAAAAACAAACGATTGAAAAATGTCTCCATTTCAAAATAGGGACAGAAGCCCCCAAATCCTTGGCTACGGCCTTGGATATTTGTTTATTCAGTTGCATTTGTTGGCACTAATGAAATATTGTTTGGAAATAGTTGCGTGAGAAAAAAAATGGTTTAAAAACGTGAAACAATTTTTATTTTTAAACGTGACGCTTACAAATCTACTGAAAATTTGTAAAGGTGCGTGTAGAGAGAACGAAGTTGGACGAACGAAAAGTTTTGCACGTTTTCATCATTTAAAACATTTATCT